AGATGCCATGATAGTGCCATTAATGATTGGGTTTTGTCATTGTTGGATCGCTGGAATTCATTTCTTGGTATAAAACTGTCTCTAAATTAGGACATCCCAGATCTGGAGGACTTCAAGATCCTTGTTGCCCCTGATTGGGAGAGGGCGAGGCTGGAAGAAGTGAAGAAGTACATCAGTCACTACTTCCCAAGAATGCCCCAGGAGAAGGTCGATGCATGGAAAGAATTCTCTCCGGGGGAATGTCAACAGGTAGATCGTTAATTCCTACATGTGCATCACATTACGAGAAGGCTCCTCCCTTAATGACATTTTTTCATTCCGTCCTTCATGCGATTGCAGAGAGCTACCTCATACCTGGGTTAGCTTTTGGAACTCAAGAAGGCATTGACTAAGTCCGCGCCAGAAATCGACCAGGCATTAAACGACTATTTGTCTGGTATGGAGAAAGGTATCGTAGGACCACTCCAACAGGTGAGAATATTTCCGATGCTATTATGGGACCAAGATGATGGAATTTGCATTATTTTTTAATGTTATTGACACCGTGAGAAAGACGAATAATTTTCCTTGTCTCGATGTGAATGATTACACAATCCTAAAAGATATTACGGGCACTAGAAATTCACCTAAAGATACCTTCTCTTCTATCATGTAAACAATAATATGGAACGCGGTTTTGTTGCGGGCTTGCGTTTATCTGGGAAGGGGAGGGGGACGCGGACGAATAATAATTTCCTCCCACATTGGCCTTAGCCAATCGCCAGCGCTCGCTCCCCGCCTTTCCCCTCCTTTTCGTAGCCCTGCCCTTGGGCCCTGGTGCAATTGCACTGCCTGCTCACTCGATAGCTACGCCACTGGACCCATTATCGATTTCTCAATCGGGCATACCATAACGTTGTCGCTTTTGAATGCGACGGGATGAAACTCTATTAGCTTTTAAAAATAAAGAATCGTTTCCATTAACGAATTTAGGTAACAACTAACGAAGATATAACTTGTTATTTCATCACGATACGATTTCTACCATTCAGCCAGAAGATATAACTTGTTATTTCATCACGATACGATTTCTTCCATTCAGCCTATCATTGGACCAGTGGGAACCAGGCGGCAGGGAATGTTCTCTGGAACCGAGGGTATCTCTGCAGGAATGCTAGCCGCAGTTTATACGGAAGACAGAGCATCTCGTCCATGGGTGGGAGAAGTAAAGACTGCTGACGGAGACAAAGTGGAGATCCATTGGTATGTGGGGACTTACCACGGTTCCTGGAAACCCATGATTGGAGACACGAGTGTTTCTTCAGTACCACGTGAATCCCTGCTCCTGTGGGGATTCACATTCACCGACGTAAGGCGCCAGTTGAGGAGCAACACAAGAGAAGAACTGAGACGGCTGTACCGAGAGACTGACGAAAAAATGGCTGACTGAAAAAGAATAAGTAAATATAACATTTCCTTTTTAAAAAAATAGAATTGCTGTATCGTTTACATGTATTTGCAAATTTGGACAGGCAAATGTACAATGACAGCAATTAGCTTGCAATTTTACTAAAATTCTTAAGTTTGAGAAATTATGATTATGCTGGCCTGAGTGACTTGAATACATATTATTTATAGTTACTTATTTCTACTGATTTCAGGAATCATACCGCTTCCCTGAGACATTTCTGAGACGAGAGGAGCTTGCTCGGCGCCATATGAAACTGACGAAAAATTCGGTATTGCTCTTATTGGCATCTCACTTTCTCTTTCGTCATAATGATGTCTAGATATATCACGCATGAAAGAAATATGTATGACTTTCAGGAAAGGGTACCTGTACAGCCACTGAAGGATGCTTTCGATTTGGGTCATATTCCAGTTTGCATCAGAGGTGGTGATGGTGTTTCAACTCCCAAAATTCCTTGACTGCAGGAGTGGGGGAAACTCTCTCCAGGAATACAGTCATGCTTCTCGTAATTCCCTTTCTTAGGAAGACATTGAGACCAGTATCGAGAGTTTTCTTTCCTATATTCTGTACCCGCGCGGGAAAAGTTCAGAATTCCTGGTCCATTTCATGTAACCTTCTGTTCTTTTTTCCTTCTTTTTCTTGGATTCTCTATTGTACATTGCATCCATTTCCCTTTCATGCTTCATGTATTGCATTTTAAGCGCGGCTCTATACTGTATAATGCCATTGTGATTTTATTATGCTTCCACTTGTGCATTAGGACAAATAGTGCATATTTTTCTTCATCGTTCTTTGGGAATGAAATTTTATCCACTAAAATCGCTTCTGATTATTTTTTGCGGTGGTGTTAAAAGCTATTTCTCGTAATAAAGACACTTCGTGACATGTTAAGGACTTCTTTAGGCAACTCTGGAGCAACTGATGATGAACACCTATGAATTTGAAATTGTGGCCCACGACTGCAATTTATGAGAGGACTGAGATTTTCATGAACTCTGATTCTGGTTAGAAATTTGATCTCTACTTGTGCTGACACTTGGATGCGTTTATATAGGTACAGACGAATTTCTGAAGACTGAGTTCGGTCGAGACTGGGGACTATCATTCAACGCACCCGGTCGGTTTTCGGCCAATTGTCCGAACTTCGACTGATGGTTCCAGCCCGAATTCCACACACTGTATCCAGTCGGTTTTCGGCCAATTGTCCGAACTCGGACCGAACCGAGCGGCTCACTTCTCCACGCACCCAGTCGAATTTGGGACAAATTCCCTACATTCATTTGAAACCAAAGCTCTGCTCTGTTTTCATCCTAGGATTTCAATAATTTACTAGCGAACGTATTACTGAATTAAAAAAATTTCATGATCCAACCAAGATTTCAAACTCCTTCCACAAAGGGACTCGGGATCATAAGAGAATGCGGATCCATGTCGGAGGTGGTCAGAGATCCCTTTCCTGACAGGTTGGATTCATTGAAAGCGTGATTTGGCCGTCAGCGATACTGATGACATTTAGCGGGGGGAGATCGCGTATGTTCTCGCATTAAGTTACACCATTTTGCCCGATCACAGTAGTTTGGGGAAAATGCCATTCACGTGAAACACTTGGCTCTGTAAAAACATTGTTTTTCCCTAAATGAAACTTCAAAATTAAAACGAATCTCGTTCTTTGTGATCAATGCTCTGGTTTCTTCGGAAAATTCATTCAAGCCAAGCGTTCTTGGTAGGATACCCACCGCGCGCCTCCACTGGAGCGAGGCTTTCATCGGCGCGGCCGATCAGGTATCTCTAATGAAAAATCACCGCATATTTTTTGCCACGCCGACAGCAATGGGTCTCTCGAGTGTATCTATGCCCGAAGCACCAACTTTTCTCTCCCCGCTCACTCGTGATTCCTCTCGTTTCCGACTGCCCCCCACCACTCTACACCCTCCCGTACGCTCGCGTGTGAATGCCTCCCTAATCCGCCTTCAACATGGAAATCTTGAAATGTCCTCTGATGGATCGATAGAGAGGGTTCACTGGAATGCATGGACGCATTCAGGTTCGGTATCTGTGCAAAGGTTCCCTCGCAAAGTTCATTCAAGCCGAGTGTTTCCGCTATGATATCCACCAACCCGCCTCCACCTGACCGGGCTTTCATCGGCGCCGCCGATCGGGTATCTCTGGGGCAAAAAACTAAATTTTTTTTTGACACGTAGACAGTGCAGGGTCTTTCGAGTGTATCTATGGCCGAAACACCACCTTTTCTCTCCCCACTCACTCGTGATGTCGCTCGTTTCCGACTGTTCTCTACCCCTCTACTCCCTCCTGTACGCTCGCTTCTTATAGCCTCCCTGATACTACTTCCATACTGAAACCTCGAAATATTCTCTGATCGATCGATGGATGGTGTTCTTTGGAATGTATGGACACATACACGTTTGAAATATATGGCCAGGTTCTCTCGGAAAGTTCATTCAAGCCGAGTGTTTCCGGTAGGAATTCCACCGCCCTCCTCCACATGACCGGGCTTTCATCGGCGCACCCGATCGGGTGTCTCTGTTGCAAAATCATTGAATATTTTTCGGCACGTCGACAATGAGTCTGACAAATGTATTCATGCCCGCAACACCAAATTTCCTGTCTTTATTCGCTTGGGATGGCCCGAGTCTTGCAACGATGTCGAATCATAGGTTGCGATTTTGGTAGGTCTCATTATAGCCTGATATTTCTGTCAGCATTCCAATAAATAATTTGAATTTGTCGCGTTTTTCCTGAATTTGCTTTCAAGTAGTGATGTAAAATTCTTGATTATGCATGTTCGATTTGTCGATGGTGGTTCGACGCGGGCAGTGGAATGCTTCGTGACGTTCGATCTGAGCTCTGCGTACGTTTACCAGACGATCACATCTCCTATAATTTAATGAACGAGTTATTTTGACAACTGCACAGGGTTTGCTTTGCCGAAGTGAGCAGCAAGCGCGCCTTACTGTGTCCCAAGAATAAGAGTTGGGGCAATGAGGACATGTTTTCCCAATTCAAAATCGAAATGCGGACTCAACACGGTATCGAGACATTCAAGTATGATCCTGGTGATGATGCCGATCGGTAGATCTACTTTCTGGTTTAATTCCTCGACACTCTCAATCTTCCCTGTCTCCTAAGCGCGCACTAAACCTTTAAGTTAGAGCAATATTAATGGTTCTGCGGATTCTCTCGATTGGGAACGGCATACGTACGATCGTGAGAGACATGAACGCAAATTTCTTACATGGCCACGGGTGCGCTGAGTGGCAGCATTCATTTGCTGCGAATAATTTTATTGGACACGTCATCCGACGGCAGCATACCGTTCGCTCTTTGTCGACGTCAATTCCCTATCAAGCTTGCCTCCTATGTAGACAAGTCTCAGGGACAGACACTCGATCGAGTCGGATTACTATTGAATATTTCTGAATGACGTGTTCACGCAGACGTTGCTTGCTCGCGAGTTCGCTCTATGGATTCGGTCAAGATTCAGGTTAGCAATGGACCGAAAGAAGGCAAAACTGATACTGGCACCGTCAAGGAAAATATGGTTTATGAAGAAGTATTTTTTGTCAAATCCTTTAATCGAAAATATTTTTGTTCATTATGACAGAAACTTTCCGTTTCGTTTGACATGTCTCGCGTTCCTTGGTCTGTCCGGGTTCCAATCGTATTTGCATACTTTCCACATGTCGAACTAATGTTAGGTTATATTTTCCCCATGTTGGCAGGTGTAGCAAGCTCTGCCTCAGCATCAGATATGTTCCATCGTGAACTGTACAGTATATCAAAATTTGGCACAAGGAATCTGGCCAAGACGGTTGTTATTTGATAAACCGTGACTAAAAGAAGTCTATGTCCTTGGTGAAGGCGGCATTATGGCCTTCGTGACTTCGAGGGCCTAGGTCTAACCTACGGGTGAATGCTTTGACTTACACCTCTCTCCTATGACATGGAATCACGGATAGATGTTGGGTTGCAGATTAAAGAAAACTGACTACTTTGGAGGCTTATTTCGAGGGAGACTGATTTCGCAGGCTTAGTCCTAGGCCTAGCCCACCGATGATTGCCAGGGCTAATACCACTCTGATACACTTTCTTTGAGGAAGCGGGAAGGAAAATAAGTAGGCCTAGTTGGTGAATTGCATATCACAGGCAACTTTGGACTTTGCATTTACATGCCCTGAGTGGAATGAATTAGCTTTTCTATATCTCACACTCTGATGGACGTTCAGGCCCAGACCAATCTTGAGTCATTCCCATGCAGGAACTTTTCGGCACATATGACCGAGGACCCTGCTGCCTTAGCCTGAGGCGCGAGACCTTTTAGCCAACGCTTTTCTTTTTCATAGGCTGGATGGAAGGACATTAATGCGGTCACCCAGTCAACAACAGCGCTCTCTATCGGGATACAGCGTCATCTTAGAAAGAAAACTCATGAACCACTCTGTCAAGTATCAGCTGGATCCAACTGTCCCTTGAAAAGTTAAAGTTGTGAAGTTCATTGAATTCTGAGACGACCGAGCACAAATAATCATCTCACTTGAGGTTGAATGATCCACCTCTAAGCACCTTTAATTCACATAATAACCTCTAAGTGGACATTGCACGACTTACGCAGGGGTGATGAAAAAACTGGCAAGCATTTCAACACCATGTAAATGTCAAACATCGATCGCGTTTTCAATTTAATTTTTTTTTCTGTATTCCTGAAACAGTTTCTCCCATAAGAAACAGTAGAGCGTTTTTTTTAACCACCCAATAAATATGAGTAAAAATATGAAACTCCCATAGTCATCATAGTCCACAAAGAATTAACGTGTTCAAACGCTGAAGTAATGAGCTCATGCATCTAGTATCAAATATATCAGAGATCTATACGTAAAGAAGTGTTTGACGACAATAGGAAGGAATGAAATTTTCAATAGGAGCACTAAACGACGCACTAGAAATGTCTACCTGGTGATCCCCTTGTGGGGGGAAAGCGCAAGACGTAAAATTCTCATAAGTAGGATGCTTGCACTCTCCACGGCATGCTTATTTTGCTTAATTTATAAGAATCGCGCGCTACTTCCTATCATTGCTCATATTTCCAATAAGTGCTCTGCGGAGTTTTAATCTGGAATGTATGCTGATTTCAGAATATTTTCTGACGTATGAAACATGGGGAGGAGATCCGTCTTGTGCGACACAAGTGACGAAGTGCCAACATTATGCTGCAACGCCTGTGTTTCATGTTGACGGTCATGGTGAAATTCATACTTGGAATTTCCTGTTTCCAGACCATTCGTTTCTCACATAATCATCCTTATTCTCCCCTCCACCTCAAACTGGATCACAGGATTGAACGAAGTAAAAAGGCCCTGAGGTTGTGACGGGGTCTGGACTCGAGCGAGTCCTCACGGCCTATTCGGTATATTTCTAGTTCATACTTCCATCGATGTCAGGAATGCATTAGCACTTTCACTTGTAGAGTCCGTTTACGTCCTTTTTTGGAGCCAGTGAACACGGGGCGGGGAACGACAACTGTACAATGTACTGAAAGAAATGACACGATATAATGTGTCATTTGACGCACGTATGTCATGAGAGAATTTTTTCTTACACAGA